GTTCGAATCCCACCAGGCTCAAGGTTGACTCAGCCTTCCATCCTTCCGAGGTGGGTAAAATGAGGACCCAGATTGTTGGGGGCAAGAGGCTGACTCTGTAAACTGCTTAGAGAGGGCTATAAAGCACTGTGGAGTGGTATATAAGTCTAAGTGCTATCGCTATTGCAGGCTAACTGCCCACTGCCAGCAGTTCGAATCCCACCAGGCTCAAGGTTGACTCAGCCTTCCATCCTTCCGAGGTGGGTAAAATGAGGACCCAGATTGTTGGGGGCAAGAGGCTGACTCTGTAAACTGCTTAGAGAGGACTGTAAAGCACTGTGAAGCGGTGTATAAGTCTAAGTGCTATTGCTATTGTCCTTCCTTCCTTCTCTTCCCTTCATTTCCTCCCTTCCCTCTGCCCACTGCCAGCAGTTCGAATCCCACCAGGCTTAAGGTTGACTCAGCCTTCATCCTTCCGAGGTGGGTAAAATGAGGACCCAGATTGTTGGGGGCAAGAGGCTGACTCTGTAAACTGCTTAGAGAGGGCTGTAAAGCATTGTGAAGCAGTATATAAGTCTAAGTGCTATTGCTATTGCTACCCCCAGCTTTTATTCCACTGAAATTTTACCAAATTCACCATTCAGTACAGATCATTTGTTCATGAATACCTTCAAGGAGTTGTCTTTATTTAGCCGACTTCTACACTGTACTCAACCATTATTATCTTAGGCATATCTTGCTAATGGAATACCTGCACTTAAGTCGGCAAGTGGATTAATGTATTAAATGCCCTGTACTCTAGAGTGACTTTATCTCAACAACCAAATGTCGTAGACGGTCAAATTCAGACCTTACCATCTACGGCAACAATAAATTCCTTGTCTTCGCCTTGAGTAAGCAGGACATTGTACATATGAAATTATAACCTAAGTGCACTGCAGTCAGCTATCAATGGAATGCTAATAACCTGTATCTTGTAAGTGTCATACATACCGGGGAAGTGGCTGGAAATGATCATAGGGCATGATTTCCTTAAATCCATCACTGTGAATAAAGCAGAGGCATTTACAAAGTTATTTGCCAGATGCCGGATTACAATTTTTCCATTTGATACATTCCTTTGTAAACAAAACGTTCACCAAACTTGGGAAAACAACTCAGTGCTACGGTGAGTGTCCTTTTTTAACTGTTGAATTTAGTTTTCCCAAGGAGTTAAGTAAGGAAACCAGTTAGCTAACAAAGAGGAGTACAATTCCGGGACTTTTTTTGTAAAAAACATGAAATTTCTGCAGCATTTTCTAGTCCCTGAGAAGAGTTGATGGGGTGGGTGGATGGATGGGGGAGAGGACTGGAAGCTGATGTCACTTTAGAGATTATGACATCCGCAATTAACTCACTGCGCCTGAATAGAACACATTTATAGTTTCTTCCATTATTAGCTGGAATTTTGGAGCTACAACATATATTCGGAGTTTCAGATATTAACCATCTGGTGTTAGGGTCTTCATTGCCTCTTATAGAAGGAGCTGCTTCCTGAACACCATTGCAAAGCCTTATTATACTTCCAATCCCTCCTTGGAAATCAGGTTCTCCATGAATGTTTCTGTCATTCCAAAATTCTAGCAGAAAGGTGAAAGATACTAGATACTATAGAACAGAATGAGTTGGAAGGGACCTTGGTGGTCTTCTAGTCCAACCCTCTGCTCAGGCAGGAAACCCTACAGCACTTCAGACAAATGGATATCCAACATCTTCTTAAAGACTTCCAGTGTTGGAGCATTCACAACTTCTGGAGGAAAGCTGTTCCAGTGATTAATTGTTCTAACTGTCAGGAAATTTCTCCTCAGTTCTAAGTTGCTTCTCTCCTTGATTAGTTTCCACCCATTGCTTCTTGTTCTATCCTCAGGTGCCTTGGAGAATAGTTTGACTCCCTCTTCTTTGTGGCAACCCCTGAGATATTGGAACACTGCTATCATGTCTCCCCTAGTCTTTCTTTTCTTTAAACTAGACTCTATAAGCTAAGACCATTCCACTACTATCCCTCCTTTTCTACAACACAGAAAAGGTGTGAAATGGGAAAAATGCAGGAGAAAATTACAAATGACCTCAGCCTGGAGAACTTTCTCCCCCTACTTTATTTGCTGACAGCCCTTCAAAGTAGACCGAATCAGGAAAGAGACTCCATAGGAAGACGAGAACTCAATCGGGATGTCTGAATTTTCCTCTCCACCTTCTTCTTATATTCTAGGGCAGTGATGGCGAACTTTTGCACTGAGTGCCAAAAAGGGAGTGTGTGCACTCGTCTGGGCCACAACCCAGAAGAGGAGCTGCCCAGGGGGCATGCGTGCGCCGAGAAATGAACTTCCGGTTTCTGGCACACACATGTGCACCAGCCAGCTCATCTTCTGGTTACTGGTGTGCATGCGTGTCTGATGATCAGTTGGCCAGCATACATGCCCAGACCGGAAAATGGAAGACCAGCTCTTCCAGTTTCCGGCACTGCTGGACACACCAAGGCCAGCTGATCGTTGCACACGCATGCACGCCAGAAACCTGGAAAAGGAATGGGTGACGCCGCACGGGCCAGAAGACATGGCTCCATGTGCCACATAGGGCACGCGTTCTAGGGAGTCAGTGGTCTTTGGAGGGGGGGCATTGGCCTGGGTCTCTCTGGTCTTGTTTCTTCTGCACCTGGTGTTTTCCTAAGACCACTTTGATTTTTTCTTCAAGGTCATCTCCTCGCTTCTCTACATGTATAAAAGGTCTTCCTGGAAGTAGGAGACTTTCAAGTAGAGGGTCTCTGTCTTCCACCTGGACATTCTTCTCCTCCAACCTTGTTTCAAAGGATCTGCTTGGAAATGTTCTTTGCAAAAGGGGTGTTTAATCGAAACGCTTGCAAATTACTTTCCCGTTTCCCTTCCTGCCTCTTGATTTCTGTTTTTAGCCTCTGAGAGCTGCTGGCACATGTCTTTTCCTTCCCTTTAGAGTGCCTTCTATATTGGTGGAACTGCGTAAGTCAATGTCGCTCCTTAAGAGATGAGTGTGTCCTATCTGGAATTGTGAACGTAAGAAGCCTCGGGGTCTTCTTGAGGCACGGAAAGGGACAGAGATATGCCAAAACCTTGTCTCGGAAGGGCCGGGGATTAAAATCGCAAAGCCCAGCATTTTGCCCCGGTGTGATTAGTATAACAGCAGGGTCTATGATCTGCTTCTCCATGGATTCCAGCTCAAATGTTCTGGCTCATCTCCAGCGTCTGAGCCCAGAGGACTTCAAACTGAAGGAGAAGTCCCGTTAAGCCTGGGCATTCCAACCCTCATACTTGAGTCTGGTCCTAATAACTACGAGGACAAGTAATGTGAAACGAAGTAGAACATTCACCCCGCCAAGAATTTTAGCATCTTCGTCTCTAGAATTCTCAACATTAATGGCAAGTCCTCCTATTACACACTTCCTCACCCTTTAATAAGACTCTCGTGAAGCTCCAGAAAGTTGAGTTGTTGGAAGCACTGCCTGCCTGCCTCTCTCACGCAAAGGAAGGCATATGCATGTGTTCTAGGGTAATGTTGCAGGATCCAATCTGAGTTAGTCACCAGGACTCAAGCTTTATTCTTCTTCCCAAGCTTTCGGGCTCATACTGGAGCCCATCCTAATTCAGGCAACTTCACTCTCTCCAGAGTGAAGGATGAGGGTGAAGGTTCATTCTCTGAGCTTGGTTGGTTTCCGAAGGTTTTGTTACCAGGCCAGGTGACATCTTCAGTGGAGTTTAGGGGATGACAGTGTCTGTGTTCTTCTGTTTATAAGGGCTTCAGTAGATCAGCAAGGGGTCAGTTGTGGGTGTGTCAAATGAGGGTACAGAAAGACAAACTGACATTTCCTAAACTCCGCTGAAGATGTTACCTAGCCTGGTAATGAAATGTTTTGAAACCGACCCACAAGCTCGGAGAATGAACCTTCTGTTGTGGCCTGCCAGCAGAGCTGGCAGTCAGATTCGGACAGTGAGGAGGTTGGGGAGGAAGATGGGACAGTACTGGAGTCTCAGGAAGGCTCTGATGAGGGCTCTGTGTCAGAGGCAGAGAGGGGGCCAGGGCTGTTTGCCAGTTATCAGCTGCCTTCAGAGTCAGACATCAGTGAGGCAGACAAACAGCTGGAGCCTGTTCCCAGTGTGCGCATGTGCAGAGCAGCCAGACGAAGGGAACAGCTAAAGAACAGGGGTCGACTTGGGAGGAAGGCCACAGATGGATGATGAATGGCTCCTCCCAGAGGGCATAAAAGAGGAGCGGGAGTGGAGTTTGCAGGAGACAATTAGTTCGCTTAATTAGTTCATGACTCTCTGAGACTCCTTGCCAAGTTTTGCAGATATCAGGACTGGCATCTCTCCAAGCCAGATGAGGTCTGTGACTGTAAATCCTCCCTTGAAAGACTTTGCTGGAGGTGAATGAGCAGAATTCACAGTCAATTAATAAAAGGGTTTTTTGCCAGGACAAAGGAGGAGTTTGCTTCATGCTCTTGGGAAGCCTCGGTCAGAACACCTTCACCCACTGTTCTATGTGTTGTATTTATATGGTGCCTCATTGTGTGTGGCCATCAACCTGGCCATCGACACCCTCATTAACAACTAAAAGCCACACACAAACAGGCGCCCTATAAATACGATGTGTAAAACAGGCCAGAGAGAGAGAGAAGTTCCCTGAGGATGGGCTCCAGCAAGAGCCCGGAAGCCTGGAAGAAGAATAATCTTTTGGTCCCAGTAACCGACTCAGATTGGATCCTCCTGAAAGTTTGTGTAACGATTTATGCCTTTGCCAAGGTGGACCTGCCAGAAGGATCCGGGAACCTCTGTGCAGCCGAGCTTTTGAGATCTCACAACCGAATGATTTTATTCGACTGGGATGAGAAGAAAAGGACAATTTAGTTACAGGAAATAAAATACACCCTAAGTGTTTCCCTTTTATTTATTGGATATATCAGTGACACTGCCAGCTGGCAATTTAAGGTTTTGGGCTAGATATTGAATATTATTTTAAGATACTTTTGCCGAGCCAGGAAACAGCACCAGATGGTCCAATGGACGGCAGCCTTAAATGTCATTGTGCAACCCAATATGTGCACTGCAGCTGCTTTGGGAACTTGGCAGAAGCCAGATGTGGTACAAGCGTCTTGCCTTGCAACGAATTTGAGTCCGTTCCCCTTAAAAATAGATTGAAGCTTTCAGAGGCTGATCCAAAAGGAAAAGAAGTCCTGTGATCACTTGACATCCGGTAGGTCAATCATTCCCAATGAGCAAATCAGAACGCCTTGAAGAGGAAGGACAAGTGATTGAAGAGGAAGGACAAGTGATGGTGACGGTGAAGAGTTTTAGCATCTTGGATTCATTCATTGTTCTCTGGACTCTGAATGTGGGGGGATGAGTGCTGGGAGGGCATCCCCTTGTGGCAATGACCTCTCTTTCCTTAGCAACATCCAAGGAGGTCAGAATGTACCAGAATTGCCCCCAATTCAGGAGATGGTGACCTTGAAACATTTTTCCACACTATCATTTTCCCTGAACCAAGATCGCATCATGTCGGAACCTCCTACTGATACACACCATCCTTCACCCAATGACGTTTTTAATGATCTTCCCTGCATCTCCCCGTTTCAGAAGTCAGAATTTTATCCTTGCAGTTCTCCAGGAAGACTCTTCACCTCAGGCCAATTGGTGTTCAGGTTTTAGAGCAGCCCCACAGAACCAGATTTGAAAAGAAGTCACTCAGGAATGTATGCGAGTACAAGAACACTAGGGTGTCAATTTGTTTCTATATTAAAAATAGAGTAAAGAAGGGTGGAGTGGAGTGGGGAGGGGAGGGAGAGGCAGAAGGAGAGGGAGAAGGAGAGAAAAAAGGAGAGGGAGAGAGGAGAGGGAGAAAGAGAAGGAGAAAGAGAAGAGGAAGGAGAAGAAGGAGAGGGAGAGGCAGAAAGAGAGGGAGAAAGAGAAGGAGGAGAGAAAGGAGAGGCAGAGAGGAGAAGAGAAGAGAGGGAGAGGCAGAAGGAAAGGGAGAGGGAGAAAGAGAAGGGGAAGGAGAGGAAAAAGGAGAGGGAGAGGCAGAAGGAAAGGGAGAGGGAGAAAGAGAAGGGGAAGGGGAAGGAGAGGAAAAAGGAGAGGGAGAGGCAGAAGGAGAGGGAGAAAGAGAAGGAGGAGAGAAAAAGGAGAGGCAGAGGCAGAGAGGAGAGGAGAGGGAGAGGCAGAAGGAAAGGGAGAGGGAGAAAGAGAAGGAGAAAGAGAAGGGGAAGGAAAAGGAAAGGAAAAAGGAGAGGCAGAGGCGAAAGGAGAGGGAAAGGTGAGAAGTAATGTAGGGTAGCATAGCGTACCGTAGCATAGAGTAGCGTTCCGTAATGTAGAGTAGAGATATATTCTCTACATATATTGAGAGCTCAGGCCATCCCTGCCTTTCCGAGTGATGGGCCCCCGGTTACTTATGAATAAAAAGGAATTAGCAAGGACTTGGAAACTAAAATGCCAACCACCCATTCATACAGCGGCATACAAACCTCGAAGGGCAGGGATCCATGTTGCATTCTTTCAGCTTCGGTTTGGGTTTCTTGTTTTCAGGATAATAATGGCAATACTGATCGGGTACCACCCGCTTCGAACGGACGTCCATGCACTCAGCAGAGTTCAGCTGATAACCTAGAATGGGGTGAGAAATAGGCCATATCTGAGGATCAACCAGGCCTAATTATTCAGCCACCCATTTCTCCTTGCTCACACCTCCTCCATTGGTCTGTTTCACTAACAGCGTCTTACGATACCAGCAGAAAGAATGGCATACCGTCCACAACCATGTAATACATTGGCACAGCCAACAGCTGCTTCCCTTTTCGGTTACACACTCCCTTCCCATCAACAAGGCACATTCCCACCTGCTCTGATTCCCCCATGATGACAACCGAGTCATCGGAATGCGCACCGACCCATCGCAACCCTCTTAGGGCTGGAATCCGATGCTTTTGGAAGACACAACCCCGTCACCTTTCCATCAACAAGCATCCAGGTTTCTAAACATGGATGGTTGCATAGGTAGTCCTCAACTTATGGCCACAACTGAGCCCCCAAATTCGTGTTGTTCAATGAGAAGCTTGCTAAGTGAGTTTATCCCATTTCACGACTTTCCTTGCCACCTTCGTTAAGTGAATCACTGGCGTTGTTCAGTTCCCCATTGAGGTCATTTTTCCCAGTGTTGTTGTGATTTCTAATGGTGGCTAAATGAGTGGTTGTTAAGTCGAGGACTACCTGTCTAGAAAATATTGTACAGGTAGTCCCCGACTTACAACGGTTCATTGAATGAATGTTCAAAGTTACAATGGCAATGAAAAAAGTGACTTACGACTATTTTTCACACTTATGACGGTTGCAGGCTCATATGATTTACATTTGGATGCTTGACAAACAACTCACTTAACAATAGAAATTTAGGGCTCAATTAGCAATAGCAATAGCAGTTAGACTTATATACCGCTTCATAGGGCTTTCAGCCCTCTCTAAGCGGTTTACAGAGTCAGCATATCGCCCC